TGCTTGCAGGGTGGATGTAAGCAGTGGTCTGTTTGGGCATGATTGTCACTGAATTGGCCAGAAAAGACTGATGAAAAGGTAGCACTGCTGTCCCCTAGAGCAGCAGTTGGGTGTGCAGGCCGTTTCCATCAGCTGCTGTAGGGCTGGCACGTGGCTGGGCTCCTCTGGCACTGCCCGGCGGCAGCAGCCCGGCATCCTCGTGAGTGGCAGGGCTGTGTGCGGGCGCTCTTCCTCGCTCACAGGTCAGTCTGTCCTGAGGAAGCACGGCCAGCTTGGGCGAGCTCCTTGTGAGGATCGCCCTGCTCCCAAAGCAGACGGGGTTTTCTGGCTTCTTTGCCTGTGGGTGTCAGCATGACTCGCTCTTTCACCTTGCTTTTCTGTTCAAAAGGAGCTGAGGTGGTGGGTTCGTAACAGCCTTGGCACCCTTCGGTGTGTTTGCAGAATCTGCCAGGCCTGCAGCAGAGGGACAGGCTGGCATCTGGCTTGGGCATTGCGTTTGTGAAGTGAGTGAATGTCCAGAAGCAATGAGGGATTTTTCAGGTGGGTTTATTTATTGGAAAGTACTGATCTGCCCGAACCCACACATCTTGGGAATGTTCCAGCTCTGGCATTGTCACAGGAGAGGGTTAGGGTTTGGGTTTCTGGAAGGGGGGAAAGCAACTAAAACTTTGCAATAAGTGATCCCTGCTCTCTTCAGGGGTGCGTGAAGTGCACCTGTAGTTGTGGTGAGAATTGAAGACAAGGGATTTGGCGTTCTCCCATGTCCTAGGTGAATGCCTGATCACTGGATCCATAGCTGGTGTGGATCCTTATCTTTGCAAAAAGTACCAGCAGATGGTGATTTTTTTTTTCTTTTAGATCTTTGGGAATCTCAAGCTTTTGTGACATGGGGAAAACCGTTTCTTGTTCGGCTCTAGTAGGATGGGCACTGCTTGTGCTGATGGAAACTGTGAAGTAGAGGCTTTTTTATTTGATGCAAGTGCAGAAATGGGTCACTGGAAGCCTTTCCTTGTTGTAACCATTTGCAACCTCCCTCTAAGTAGTAGGATACAGTCCTTCTTTTCCCTCTCTTCTCCCTCAGGGGCTGTGGGTAAGCTCTGGGCAGGCCTTGGCAGCAAACGCTGCCAAACCCACTCTGTCCTGGCCACCAGCATCCTGTCCCAGGGGATGCTGGCAGGACTGAAGCGTCCAGGCCTTAGGAAGAGTGCAGTGACTGTCCTGCTGTCCCTGCAGGCACAGGCTCCTCCTTCCAACTGCTGGGCTGTCCTCTCTTCTCCTGCCTTCCAGTGCTGCCTGTGCTTGGTTTGGAGACCTGTTGGCAAGGTGGTTTCTGTTCACCTTCCAGCACTTCGTTGTTCAGAGCCCTTTGTTTGTTCCTGCAGTGTCCTGCCACCACGGTCCCCCCACCAATGCGTGGAGACGTGCTGACCAGTCTCCAGGCGACTTGCTGAAGCTTTTCTGCGGGGCAAATGGGAATGGTTTGATGAAACTTGTCAAACCTATTGATCCTCTTGCTGGTTTCTCCATATTCCTTCTGCTGGCATGTCAGCACGAAATGCCGTTAGCACTTTCAGATGCTGTTGGGAGGAGGCAAGGTCAGCTAGCCTTCAGGACCTGTCTGCATGTCAAATGTGTGCTCTGCCACCAGGATGCAGGTCGTGATTTCCCAGATGAGCTTGGCCGGGATCAAGTCCCCGCGAACGCTGTGGTGGAGTCCTGGTCGTAGCCCTTCTCTGACTCCTTAGTCCTCTCACACAGCATCCTCGTCCGAGTCGCCCCAGATCTCTGCATCTCAAATGCAGCAGTCCGTGCAGCTCACTCCTCCTCCCCAACCTGTGTGCACCAGACGGTGCAGAAAAGCCAAGTAGCTCCTGCTTTTGCCTCTTGTTTTGCCTCCTCTCCCTTCCTGGGCGAGGGAGGTGACGCAAGGACCTCATGCCTGTTCTGGACCTGCCACTGGCTTTGAGAAGTGCTGGCCCGTCGTGAGACAAGAGTGTGCTCATGCCCACAGCAGTCTGGGCCATGGTGCCAGCTGTGTTTCAGCTTGCTGTCGCTGGCACAAGCCCATCACCTAACAACGAGGCGGCCGGCAACGATGCGGGAGTGAGCCTCCAGAGGTCGGCCTTGGCCCGTGGCGTCCCGTCTGCCGGTGGGTGGGCGGCTGGGCCTGGGGAGCATTGCTCCTCTCTGCTTTTCCTCTGGTTTTTGTTACGTTTGACTAGTGTTGCTAGCAGCAACGGCAGCCTCAAGGCATACCTATGTTCATGACTGTCTGTGAAGCTGCTGCTCCCTCTAAACCCTGTGAGGTTTGACGCTTGCATCTGCAAAAAAGGCTTTTCCAGCTTGTCTTTAGACAGCAGGTAACTTCGCAGTTTCCCGATGCAGAGGATATTAAGCATCTGAAGAACTTTTATTTTCTAACTTTTATTTTCCCACCTGCAAAAATCTACCTTCTTAGGCTTAAGATGGCTAGAAAATATTGGCCAAGTAGAACTGTGGAGTGTGTTGTTTAGCTTTCTAAGATTTTCTGAATTCTTCTCTTTCTGAGCTTCTGCGAGGTGGGGGAAAGCCCCTAAAGGCTGAGAGCTCTTGCTGAGCAGCCGCTGCGAGCACAGCAGGACTGTCCCTGCCGCCCTGCGCCGCGCAGAGCTGGTGGCCGTGCATGGTGGAGCCGGAGGTGCCCTCTCGGTCTGGGCGAGCGCATTGGGAAGGCATCCCATTAGGAAGGCATCCCCAGAGCTGGTGGGGGAACAGAAGTGCTCCTCTGGCTGTGCCCAAAACGTGTCCTCTATTCGAGAGGCGGTCCCCGCGGCAGGCAGGAGGGGAGGCCCGCCTCCGGCCGGGAGCT